TTTTTTTTGAGATGGATTCCACTCTGTTGCCCAGGCTGGAGTACAATGGCGCGATCTCGGGTCACTGCAACCTCCGCCTTCCCGGGTTCAAGGGATTCTCCTGCCTCAGCCTCCCACGTAGCTGGGATTACAGGCATATGCCACCGCGCCTGGCTAATTTTGTATTTTTAGTATAGACAGGGTTTCTCCATATTGGTCAGCCTAGTCTTGAACTCCCAATCTCAGGTGATCTGCCCACATTGGCCTCCCAAAGTGCTGGGATTACAGGTGTGAGCCACTGCACCCAGCTGAAAAAGATGCATTCTATACAAAAAGAACAAAGATTAAAAAGGAGACATCTCAAAGAATGCAAGCCAAAAGACAGTGAAGCATCACCTTTAAAGTAACGAAAGGAAAAAATGATCAACCTAGAGTTCTATACCCAATGAACATTTCTTTCAAAAGGAAAGCAAAATAAAGACTTTTTCAGTCATACAAAAGTTGAAAGAATTCATCACCCACATATTTGCTCTGCCAAAAATGCTAAAGAATGTTCTTGAAGTAAAAGCAAATGTGGAAATATGGACCCAGATGGAAATATGGATCTACACAAAGGAATGAAGCAGCCCAGAAATGGTAAATATAGACAAAAGTGACTCCATCTTGGATGCTAACCCACAACATTGGCTTCTGACTAGCCCCAGTCTCGTGAATGCCTCGATTTCTGCTTTATTTACTAGTGTAAGAACATGTCAAACTTGGTGTTGGCACAGAAATGATAGAATATGGCACATGCAGCATTCTTGCCTGTTCTGGAGGGCTGTCTTTAATTGTCTTGCACAGGGTGCATACCCCATCTCCCCGTAGTATATAAGCCCTGGGTCTCAGGAGTAACAGTGTGGACTAACACCTGTCTCCACAGGTGTTGGGAATAACAGTGTGAAGTAACACCTGTTTTGCAGCTACCCACCTGTCTGCAAGTTCCCTCAATAAATCAATCAATACCAATGAACAATTTGCCTGCCACCTCTGGTTTCTCGGTCCCTTCAGCGTTCAAGGGTCACTTTGCTTATATCACCCTTTCATGCAACAATATGGTTAAATATATAAGCTTTTTTTTCCTTATTTTGAAAACCTCTTCAAAAGATAATTGACTATCTAATGCAAAAATAACAATATATTGTGGAACTTAAAACATGTAGAAATAAAATATATGACAATAGCACAAAGACCCAGGGGAAGGGAGGAATGAAAGTATACTGTTTTTAGGTTCTTATTCTAGATGTGAAAAGGAGTAATATTACTTGAAGGAAGAGTGTGACAATTAAAGATGATACTATAGGCCGGGTGCGGTGGCTCAAGCCTGTAATCCCAGCACTTTGGGAGGCCGAGGCGGGTGGATCACGAGGTCAAGAGATCGAGACCATCCTGG